GTTTAGCAGAATGAATAATACAAACTATGAAGTAGGTGCTTGCCAAGTTTGTTAATCCCAGCCAAACCAACTAAGATGAGCAGTTGCTATATGTCATACAGGACAACTGAACAGAGATTAATAGGTTGTTTGCTGTGCATGCTCGTGTTCCACAGGAAATCCTTTTCCTGTCAACATGATGTATGGTTCTCCACTTAGAGTAAACAGACATCCCACAAGTCTATGTGAAGTGGTTAAGGTCTTTGTTAGTTGACATATGCAAGTCTTGACATCAACATCTAGGAAAGGCACCAATATGTCAGAAGATGGTGAAAGAACAGATCTACCAGGATGGAAACTGAGTGTTGTTTTGGTATGTTATGGTGGTAAGGAAGCATACCTCGTACTCTGAAATATTGGTCCATTGAATGACATACGAAATACAACAGAAGCTAGGCATGCAAAAGTATGTGGAACACAGATAAACTCCATCAGTTTGTTACAGACGAACCTCTCGTACTTAGGCTTAATTAATTATGATGTTGAGACTGATAAATCAGAGGAAGAAGAGGATGCCATCTGGTAATATCAACTCAGCTAATGTGGAGGAAATAGTTAAAGTACATAGTTGAATGTAGACAGTGAGGCAGATCTGAGGAAACATTGAAGTTAGAGGTGAGCGAGAGACAGCTCCAACAGTAGGCCGAGCCATTACTGCCGTTCTCCTGATTGATATGGCTAAGATTTACATTGGGTTATAATAAGTTAAAATGGTTGAAACTAGTGGATGTAATGTGTAGCTAAGTGTTCAAAAACTCTGTTGAAAAGTACTGTGTGGTTTAGAACTACTGAGCAAAAGTTCATTGAGAGTCATCCGCTGAATATCATGTGATAACTGCTCAGATATTAGCCATATTGTTGAGAAAATAATGGCTGAAAGGATGTTGTTGTTGTTTGAAGTTAAACACAAAGCTACACAATGGTTATCTGTGCTCTGCCCACCACGAGAACCGAAACCCGATTTCTAGCATTGTAAGTCCACAGAATATTTAATATTACATATTGGTAATACTTTTTGAGTTACTGAGATAAAATTTTTGGAATATAACTGAGAAGGTTGCTGAAAGTTACTGTTATGACAGCGGAAGTCAAGTGATTCTGGTAACACGTGATGAGTTTCTAGAAGGATCATGAAGGCTCGAGTGTTTGCCAGACGCCCTCTATTTTAATATATAAGCCCGGCAAATAAAAGTAGACAATAATTTCAGATAGCAGATTGAAAAGAGATATAGAGACAGATAATCGAGTCAAGTCGTAAGTAAAGTGCGTGAATCGTTCTGAGTTATAGCGCGTGTTTAAGTTAAACTGACTGTGGACATTAAGTGTATTGCAAAGTTGTATTGAGAAAGAATAAACTAGTTTTATTTAAGAAAGAACTTGTATCGCTGAAGTTCTTCGGAAAGAATTTTTACGGGAAATTAACAAACAAACAGAGATGCAACATATTTGTGTCAGAAGTGGGATTGAAAAAAGAAAAAGAAGATGGAAATGAAGAGTGGCAAATCAAACTACATGCTTAGCATATTTGATGGCAGCAATACAAGAACAGCAAAGTAAACAAGAAGAACGAGAAAAGAAACAAAAAGAGAGATTACAGCAGTTGTTGGAGGAAAAAGAAAATAAACAAGAAGAGAGATTACAGCAGTTGTTGGAGGAAAAAGAAAATAAACAAGAAGAGAGATTACAGCAGCTGTTGGAGGAAAAAGAGAAGAAACAAGAAGAACGAGAAAAGAAACAAGAAGAGAGACAACAGCAATGGCAATAAAACCTGCAACAGTGGCAGCTCGAACAGCAAAATAAACAGAAGAGATTACAACAGCTATCGAAGGAAAAAAAAAAGAAACAACAAGAACGAGAAAATAAACAAGAAGAGAGACTACAGCAGTGGCAACTGGAACAAGAAAGGAAACAAGAAGTACAAATGGAAAACTTTAGTAAATTTCAAAGTGAATCAAATACATTAAAGGATGATTTAATGTCTTTTACACAAGGAGGATATATTAGCCACTGACCTAATCAGCCTCAGACAACAGGAAGCCCCTTCCAGGCCCCGCAGCTAAACCCTAATGCAGACATCGTCAGTCCTGTCAGAAGTCACATTCCAGACACGAGTGTCAGCAATAGGGGTGATCTAGTACGAAGGAAGCCACAGGAATTCGATGGGAAGGCACCGTGAGAAGCATATAGACCACAATTTGAGCTCCTGGCAGAAATGAATGGATGGACAGAGGAGCAGAAAGCAGTGTACCTGACAACGAGCCTGAAGGGACAACCACTGGAAATACTTGGACAGTTGTCAGCAGATGACAGGCACAACTATAGAGCACTGGTAGTGGCTCTAGAACTCAAAATCAGTCCAAAGTCTACAGGGCTAGGTTTAGGACTAGAGTCCGTGCTAAATGGGAGAGCCTGCAAGAGCTGGCACAGGACTTGGAAAGTATGGCACACAAGGCCTATCCAACTGCACCACCCGATCTCCTCAAGTTGTTGCTGAGGGATCAGTTCGTAGATGCCTTGGACAGTCCACAACTGAAGATATAAAATGCCATGGCAGGAAAGGCTGCTACCCAGAAAGGTTGTTGGAACTGTGGAGAGCAAAGATATGTGAGAAGCCAGTGTAAGAAGAATACTACCAAAGTCAGCTTCAGGAAACCAGCAGTGGTTGGTGCTGAGGGACGCCCACCAACCCTATTGTGAAAGTACCAGAAGCCATACAGAAGCTCTGCGGTGTGACAGGACATTATACAAGGTTGTGGGGAGCAGTGTGGGTAGCTATTGAGCTCATGGACATGAAGGACAGACACAAAGTATACTTGGCTGACATTGAAGACCAATGCATTTTAGGGTTGGACTACTCACTACCAAGGAAGTGTGTAGTTAACTTCGATAAAATGACGTTTGGGAACAACAAAGGCCAAATTCCGGTAAGTGTTAAAAGGGAGGTTGAACTAACCAGGAGTCATCAAGCTGAAGTCAAAGTGACTGAAGGAGTTGATGATGATGAAATGGAACCAGATATAGATATTAAAGGAGAGCAGGAGAAAGACAAAGATTTGAAGCCAATAATTGATTTTCTACAAGCAAGTGTTTTGTGCCCTGCTTGGGAAAAGGTGTCTGTCTTAAGCCCTGTGACAAAGAACTATTCGGCACAATGGGACCAGTTGAAGCTTGAAGACGGTATTCTTCTCTGGAGATGGGAAACTGCAGATGGGAAAGTGACGACCTGGCAAACAGTTATACCGAGAAAGTTACGGGAAGTTGTGCTGCATCAATCCCATGATAGTTTAACAGGAGGACATATCGGAGTTAAGAAGACATTGAGTCACCTACGACACAGATTTTACTGGATAGATATGAGGCAAGATGTGGAAGAATGGTGCAGGACCTGCAGTACATGTTGCACTAAAAGGGGACCCAAGCATAAGGGACGTGCTCCAATGAAGTTATGTCAAGTTGGCACACCAATGGAAAAAGTAGCTGTTGACATTGGTGGTCCTTTGCCTCAAACTCGTGGTGGAAACAAGTACATTTGTGTTGTGA